GAAAAATAACCAATAAGCGTGTTATAGGCACCCGCTCTTGGAATAAATCCCTTAATTACCATCTCACAGTAGAATCTCAAAGCTTCCTTTGTATTTCCAACCTTGCAATGGCCACACATCACAGTTTCATAGGTACAAGCATTGGGAACTAAGCCCCGTTTCTTTATCTCGCTGAGTAGGTCATCTGCCTCGCGTATTAACCCAGCTTTAGAAAGACCACCAAGAAGGAGATTGTAAGTTACAATATTTGGAGGAACTCCTTCAGACAACATAGTAGAAAATGTTATAAAAGCTCTCTTCAGATGGCTGCTAATGCAGTATCCTTGTATCAGGGCATTGTATGTTATTGTGTCAGCTAAAATTCCTCTTTTCTCCATGTCATTCAGCACTGCAGTTGCCTTCCTAGTCATTCCTAGTTTGCACAAGTTGCTTATGAGAATATTGTAAATATCCTTATTGACTTCAAGGTGCAAATCAACAAGCAACTTATGGATCTGTAAAATAGTGTCAGCTCTTCTACTCTTTGAGGACGCATTGAGTAGAATTCTATAAGTAATTAATGTGGGGTACAAACCCATCGTAACCATTTCTTTCACAATATTGATTGCATTTTCTATCCTCCCAGCTTCACAAAGTCCGTTTATCATAAGGTTACATGTGATTGCACTTGGTACCAACTTTCTGCTCTTCATCTCATTCCACAATTGAACGGCAGTTTCCCAGTTCCCCTTCTTAAAATTACCATTTATCATGGTGTTGTATGTTGCTGAGTCGGGAGATAACCCCAAATCCCCCATTACTTTATAAATTGATTCAGTATCACATTTCCCAAGCTTAAACAAACCATTAATTAGGACATTAAAAGCAACAACATCAAACACTACATTCTTGGATATCAATTCCTGAGCCAGGTTAAGAGCAGATGACTCCTTCCCAGACTTCAAGAACCCATCCATCAAGTTTGTGTAGTTCACAAGGTCGGGTATTAAACCTCCAGATTCCATTTTTGCAATTAGATCCTCAGCTTCTTCCATCCTTCCACTTCTTTTCAAGTTGTTCACAAAAGCATCCAGTATAAGAACATTATCCTTCAATCCTCTCTGTTTCATTTTGTTATAAAGATCAAGGGCAATATCTTGCCAACCAGCTTTGAATGAACCATCAAGTAGAATTGCATAAGTAAATATATTTGGCATCACATTTTTGTGTACCATCTTTCTTAATACATTAAATGCATTCCAAAGCATTCCTTTCTTCACATAACCATTGATCATAGAAGAATATGTGATGACATTAGGAACACAATGTTTCTCCTCCATCTCATGCAGAGAAGATTCTGCACCATTTATGTCTCCTAACTTGCAACGTCCATCGATTAAAACAGAATATGTGATAGAGTTCGGAACTAGATTAAGTTGATATAAGTTGTTGAATATATATTCGGCCTCTTTGATTCCTCCATTCTTAAAGAATCCATCAATCAAAACAGTACATGCTATCAGATCAAAGCTATTCCCACGCACAATCATACGACCCAGTGTCATTAATGCTTCTTTAATTTTCCGAGCCTTAAACAATGCGTCGAGAAGGATAGAATATGAGATATCATTAGGATGCATGCCCATCTTTTCCATCTCCCTCAAAAGCAGTTTTCCTTCAGACAACTTCCCGTGCTTACAAAGGCCATATAAAATGGAACTATAAGTTACTACATCAGGGAAGATTCCACTTCCAACCATTTCCTCATACAAGGAAAGTGCTTCTTCGAGCCCATTCTGTTAACAGTAGGATCAACATATTACATAAAGTTCTGATAAACAGTAAACATTTCTCCAAGTATAATAATTAAAAGAAGAGTGTTTGATACCTCTCTAACATTGCTTGTTATATTCACGTCAATCGATTGCTCATCCGAAACCTATCGTTGTTATGAAACAACTTTGAGTTAGTTTATAAATCTGGGTTATTTTATGAAAATAATTTTTTAGGGGGAAACCATAACATCAGAAAGAAATACAAATTCAAAGCTTAAGCTTGAGATATTCGAGCATTCACGGACATACAAACGAAACATATTTTTTTCCATAAAAAAGAAAAAGGATTTATGATCTATATCAATGACATGTATATCATAATACCTCAAGTAATAATAAATTTTTTTTGAGGTACCCTACAGTAATCCCAAAACAATACTGGAACTGCACAAGATATCCCTTGTTGAACTTAGTTCACAATTAATCAACATTGGCCAAAATTTGGCAGATTGTTCTCCACCAACATTCAATTACCATCTGGAATTTGAAAATTATTAAGAACTAGACTAACTTTGTTGCAGTAAATCCCCAAATGGATAACATGTGCATCAAACAGCAGAGCAACTAAATGGATAGAAGATCAAAATATGACGAGAATGAATCAAATTTTCCATTCTAGAAAGTAGAAAAGAAACAGAACGCTTGTGAGGCAGCAGAACAGTAAAAACGAAATTGAAATACTAGGAGGGGAAAATTGCAACCGATTCCATAAACTGCTTCTCAATCTTCAACTCGGCAAGAAGGTTCCGTACGTCTCTGGATGAGGAAGTGGAACAGAAGAGTGCGCCTAGAAGAGAGAGATTTGGGTTTCGAGAGGAATGGGGAAATCCATGGAATATGGCGTCCATAGGGTTCTTGAAGACATGACTGAGGAGAAGACGCGAGAGCGGCAATGCTACTGATCTCTTCGCCATTGATATTGCATATGAATTCTTATCTGAACATCGAGAATTGTGGAAGAAGCTGGTTGTTGTTCCGCGATGGACTAAGAGCTCTACTGAACGGAAATGGACGAGAGAGGGGAGGTTCCCGGCATTGCCGAAACGGAGCTTTTGGTTGAAGACGACTTTTATTCCTGATTAAACTTTGTGTTAAATTATAAATTTTATTTCAATTATGTCCAAATTTTTTAAAATATTTATCTCCCAAATTAATAAAATCACCTTTCAACTTCAACTTCTTTTTTGTTTTTTTTTTCTTTTTTTAGTTTCAATAATATTCTCCAAGAATATATATATATATATATATATATATCTTATTTTAAAAAAATGTTCCAAAAATACTGTATATAATTTATAAGGTGCAACAAATAGATTTGTCCATATATTTATTTTATAAACTTTTAAAATGTAATATAAAAGTTTTGGAGGATAATCTACGAATTTTATATATTAATAGTAAAAAAAATTTGAATATTTTTTTTTTATGGAATTATGTTAATGCTATTTTAAAATTTTCATAGGTATTTTTTAAACATAGTATGGACGATGAGAGTATTTATTAAGTTTTTAAAGAAATAGAAAAGTATTATTTTTAATGTATTAATGAAACTTTTTAATATTTCAAGGTATTTTTTAAACACTATTACAAATTAAACGGTATTTTTGAAGTATCTACAGTTTTAATTCAAAACTAAAATATATATTTTTTTAATCCAAAACTAAAATATATATTTTTTTAATCCAAAACTAAGTTTTTTTTTTTTTTTTTTTAAATTTAAGAATGTTATTAAAGTTGAGAGTTTTTTTTTATTAATTTGACTTTAAAAAAATAGAAAAGAAAATAAACGGAGTACTTTAAATCCAGGTTTTTCCGCACCCAAACGGTGCGTAGTTTATTCTCGTGTGCACGTTAGTTTTAATATCCTCTAAGTTTAAAATATAAATTTAAAATCATAAACAGCAAGCGTTTGTAGTCCAACGGTTAGGATAATTGCCTTCCAAGCAATAGACCCGGGTTCGACTCCCGGCAAACGCAATTTCTTTTGGTTTTTGTCTTTTTCTGTTTTCCTTCTTATTTTTTCTTGAAGGTTTATTTTCATTGTTGTTGTTCCTTTGAATTAAAATTTTCTTAAATAATTGTTTTTTTATAAACCAAAATTTGTCATGATTTATTAATTTCCATCCAAAATTTTCAATTTTTATAGATTAGTAATAAAATTTTAACCTTTATTTTATTTTATGTTAATTCATCCACTTTTCCCGCTATAATTCAAGTTGTTTCGACTTGGATCGGACTTAATTTCTTTCTAGTGAAGTTTTAGCAATGTTTATTAAAGAAACATTTTTTTTAATTTCTTGTTTGAATTTATTTCTTTGCGTAGAAAATGTCTCACGTATAGTTATGTTTAGGTGTTGTGTGGAATGAGAATGAAAATGATTAAGTTGGGCATTAAGAGGGTTTGACGTATACTAATAAAATTACATATTTCAAGTAATCAAGAATTTCATTCATTTCTCATTTCGTGCACAGTGTCAAATAATATGCATATGGGAGTACCAAACTTTCCATGTTCCTCGATGATTCCCGTATCGTATAGGCCAAAAAAATATCATTAGCACTATATTTGTCCAACTAGTGACAATATTTCTTTTATCTTGCTGTGTTGATTGTACAGCCATCACTTAAAACTGTTGTCCAAAAATGTGTGGCATACAACTTAGAGGATGGTGAAGAGCATGTCACTAAACCTCAAGGTGTCCATGATTGGAGAAAATGAGCGATGATGAACCCACCGTAGTCATGGACGGACTAGTCAAAGATTGAAAACAAGAGATAGATGAGCCAACCATAAACATGTTTCGTTCACTTATGTGTTTTTGTTGTTTAACAACTTAGTCAATCATTGTTGAAACAATCAATCAAGTTAATGAATGATCAAATGCGACCATTTAAAATCATTTTTTTTTCGAACGAGATAAATATACACGTTCCAAACTTTAGAGACCAAATATAGTTAAGTAGTCAACACATTAATCAATACGAGCATAACTCAACTTACCTAAAATTTATATCTTCAATAAGGGGTCAAATGTATAAATCTTCGTAGACATATTATTACCCCTCTACCTCCTTTTTCTAATAAACAACCAAAATTGTTTAAAAATCAGTTAAAAAAAATAAAACAAACTAGTTTCTAAAAACAGCTCCTTCCTCTTCTTCTTTCTTTTTTGAAATAACGGACTATGATACGAAAGGAAAGAACGAGAACAAAATTGTTATCAAATGGGATATAAATATTTGTATTTGAATTCACTGACCATACTAACCAGTCTTCCATTGTTCTACTGCTGCTTTTTGGAGTCTTTTCTTCTATCTTTGGCGTTGGCATTGCCTTTGTCTTTGGCTTTGACGTCATCAGGGATGCACCATGAACAAGACAATGGCAGAAGAGTGCAGATAGCCTGTATTATAAGACCATGAGGAAGGCCAGAAAAATTACTTGCTGTGACCCCAACATAAGATGCAAGCGCTACACCGAGACATCCACTCACTATGAATGCGAGGGCAATGGCTGACATTACGAACGCCATGAGAGAGCCCTCGCATCCTGGTGGGCAAAGCTGCGGTATCAGAACACTGAATGGCAAGATTTTGAAGAATAACAGAACCTCTGAAAGTCCAGAGAATAAAACGACATATACAAAGTCTGGAACGCCCATATCTCGATAGAATCCTTTCACGAACAACATGTCCGAGATCATAAACACTGCCATTGAAACCTGGATACTTGAAATAAGTTTCCTAGATGGGACCGACTTCAGGTGACGATTGTAGATTACGCCCCACAACAGCAGGGCTGCTTGGCCAAGAACCTTAGAGATACCCAAAACAGATGACTCAATTTTCAAATGCTCTGTTTGATAAAAGAACATGGTGCCAGTCAGTGCAGGGATTATGCTGTAAGATGCAGCAAACCATGTTAAGGAGTACGCAATTTCAGGTGTTTTCAGCACGGTTAAGAGTTCGGAGAGCTGTTTTTTGACACCAGCATTGGTTGAGCTCCGAGGGAGATTAAGAGAGCGTTCATGAACGATGATGGTTAAGAAAAATTGAAGCGAAAGGAGAATGCCAAAGAACAGGAACATTGCTTGAGGCGAGAACCGATCGATAGTGATGCCTCCCAGAAGATTTCCAAGAATCCCACCAGCAGAGGATGCTACCCAAACAAATGCCTGGAGCTCACCTGAGGAGGATTTTCCAGAATTCTTGGAAGAAATGGAGTGCTTTCCTGCTTCTGCAACAATGGCGTCGTTAGCAACCTCGGCTACTGAAGCACCGAGGTTGCTGAGGAGAAGATATATGCTAATGGTTAAAACCGAAATACTTGATGGTGACATGATTGCTATGGGTATCCATGACACTGCCTGTAAGAAAGCTGCATCAACATAAAACATAAGAGGAATAAATAATTTGTGAAAATTGACAACAAAATGCAAGAGCTGGAGAGTAAAATATCCAACATATGAACATAAGACATAAAAGGTTTAAATTACTTGATTAATGACTTGACGTATTTACCGTTAGGAACCACAAATCTTGACAACAATATGATATTGTCCACTTTGAGCATAAGCTCTCATGGATTTAATTTTGGTTTCACCAAAAGGCCTCATACGAATGGAGATGTATTCCTTACTAATAAACCCATCATCATCCCCTTAATTAGCCCATGTGGGACTCCCTCCCAATAATCCTCCCCTCGAATAAAGTATACCATAGAGCCTCCCCAGAGGCCTATGAAGCTCTCAAACAGTTTTTCCTTAATTAAGACTCGACTCCCTTCTCTGGAGCCCTCAAACAAAATACACCATTTGTTCGACACTTGCGTCATATTTGTCTACACCTTCGAGGCTCTCAACTTCTTTGTTTTGACATTTGAGGATTTTATTGACATGGCTAAATTAAGGGCATGATTCTAATACCATGTTATGAACCACGATTCTCCACAATGGTATAATATTGTCCACTTTGAGCATAAGCTCTTATGATCTTGCTTTTGGTTTCCCCGGAAGGCCTCATACAAATGAAGATGTATTCCTTACTTATAAACCCATGATCATCCCCTTAATTAGCCAACATGGAACTCCCTCCCAATAATCCTCAATATTTACATTTATAACTCAAGATATATGATCGGTGCCTAGCTTCCTAACACTCGAGCACATAACCGAATGCCTTAAGTGCAGTCCGGTCGTTCATCGTTAAATTACTAAACCTGTATCAATCCAATATGTATCAGTGGTAATACCAATTCATTTCTCCAGAAACTCATGTAATTAACAGTGTAGTGCAGATCTATATCCTGAATGATCATGTGGGCGGAAGTCTATGATTAACAAAGGCAATCATATAAAACGATCAATATGAACAGATAGACAAAGTGAAGAAAATCCCTTCAGTTGACAGTTGCCTTTAGAATGATCAAAAGCATTTTTGGGTACCCAAATGAACCTCCTACTCAAGATCGTCATGAGATTAACATAAAAGTGCTTTGAAAAACATCAAAAGTACCTTATGGTAATGCAAATTTGTTGTGGGATCTTATTTGTAATGAGGTTCTTCAGGTTGGATAACCGACTAAGAACATACATCTTTACAACTACTGGAATAAACAAATTGGCATTTGCAAGAATTTTCATTACCTTAGATAAGAATTGGTTCAAAAGTAAGAACTATAGATAAACGTCAGAGATTTTGATGCTTAAGGAGAATTATGTTTCATTATGAAGGCCGTCAATCCATTTGTTCTTTCATCAGAATTCTCTAATTCAAATTGTTCAAGCAATTGAAAGGATAGGAACTAAAATCCAAGGCGTGATCCGACAATCAATCGACTAGTTGCATAAACATTTTCCAGATGTTTCAGAAAAAAGAAACCTAGCAACAAATCAATCGAATTCCGGCACAGAACAGAAAGGCGCAAGCGGAGAAAAAAAGATAAGAAAATTCAAACGAATAAAACAGAGATTTAAACAATACGAAGGAGATTACCTCCAATAGCGATGTAAGGGATGCGATGTTGGCCGGAGATATAAACGGCGTCAGAGAGAATCCCGTAGAGAGGCTTGGCGACCATGGGAAGATTGGCGGAGTTCTGAAGAAGCTGGAGAGTAGAAGGGTCGACATTGAGACCGTCCTTGAGGAAGAAGTTAACCGCCATCCATGGAAAGCACCGGAAACCCTGAACCCAATACCCCAATCCGAGAACCTTCCGGATCGGATTATCACCATTCGATTTCACCATCGTAGAGAGTGAGGAATAAACAATAGTCTTCAGAAATTGAAGGAAATATAGGCAGAATTTTGAGAGATGGGAGCTTGTCGCGACGGTGATGGTGGCGGGGGCGGTGGTGGAGCTGGCAATAGTATCTTGATTTTGGAAGTAATTGCCGTTGTATGGACACAGGTGGTGGTTTTTACTGTTGACTTTTTTTAAACAAACAAAAAAAAAAAAAAAGCACTAATTTATTATAATTTTAATTTTAATTTTGTAATAATCTAATAAATTCGTAATAATTTAGTCTTTATATTTTTTAATTGGTAAGGATTCAGTCATTACTGTACCAATTATTATTCAAATTTAATGAAATTTTTCTATAAAAGTAAACATTAAACTAATAAAAAAAAAAAAAAAAGGACAATATTTATGTTGAAATGGAGTATATTCTTGGAGTCAAAAATATTCAAAATGTCTTTTAATTTATTATTTATTATTTTTTTTACTTTATTTTTTTACTTTTTGTATCTATCCATCTTTTTATAGATGATTATTAACTTACCTAAAATTGCAAAAACTATGGTAAGTCAGAGAAAAACATTTTGAATTTATTCTACGACTTAAAAGTATATAATATTTAAGAAAAATATTAAAATTATCAATAATCATTTATATTTGTATCAAAATATATATATATATAAAAAAAAAACGACAAAATGACTTTGGTTTATCTTTTTTCTCATATCCTCACCGATGTCACGTGCCATGTTGACTCAATTACTATTAGAAAAAGAAATTAGTAATGGGTAAGTATAAAAATACTCCGTAACTAGCCCCATTTATAGGACTACCATTACTTAAAAAATGATATGGACTCTTGATACTTAGATCTCATTTGGCTCTAAATGTCCATACGTGCTCATCTTGGTGTACGATAAATGAAGTTTGCTTAAAATTTTAGGGATCAAACCAAATATTTAAGAGACCAAATTATATTGATTTTATATTAGAAAACAAATTTAAACTTTTAAAATCATAAAAAGATTAAATTTAAAATTAAAAAAAAAAAGCTTGTAAAACCGTTTTCATATCAAATAGTTCTTGAGCATACACAAGACTCTAATGTATTTCAACTCCACAAACCCTCAGCTACCATCACGAGCCACACAATCTTAGATACCATCTAAAAAGAAAAGAGTAAATAGTAGCATGAACGAGTTTAAAAAACACTTACCAAGTAGCTCACTTGTAGGTTCTCAATTATCCACACATAGAAGATTATAGACTAAATTCTCTCTTAGGTCATCAGTACTAATGTGGTTAAGACATAGGGAAGTGCCCTCATGTCTTGATCCGCTTCTAAAATACAATGTGTACGTTTGTCTATCAATTTATATAAGCACATCTATATCAATTTATATAAGCACAACTATATTTATTGCACAAGTCAAAAATGCATCAATCGTACCCAAAATATACAAATCTAAATTTTTATGATCATTCTTTCATACAATTCAAACATTGATTATACAAACTCAACTTACCTTCTCAATTCTAGATTTCATACACTTAGCTTAGCAAACTCAAACTCGTAAGCGAATCAATCACTTCTGGAACCTGATTAAGAAGTGTTTGTTGGACGTTGAATAAGAACATTTCAAAACTACTCAATTGAGAGACACAAAATGCAAGAACAAAGAAGACGGTGGAAAAAGAACTTTCAAGGAATAGAACAAGAAGGAATCTAGTCAGATTTAGAGATGAGCATAATAGTCATACAAAGTCCCTAAGAATTCCATTCCAAAATCAAAAGAAGTGTGCAAAACAGCTGTCTGATATATTCCAAACTCGTGTAACCCACAAATACCATAAAGTTAAAGCTAAGTGATTATATCAATACTCTATTCCCACGTTAACATATAAATGAACTTTCAGAAGAAAATGGACAGCCACTAAGATCAAATTCCTCTATACATATCTCACTTTACGCATCATTGTCAAACACATGGATCTTTGGACTGATTGTGCTACATTTGCACCTACACAACATCATTGACCTCATATAAGATAGATTACTAACCCAAAATGAAATAAATCGATGAAACCGAACTAAACCGAACCAAACTATATCGATTAGTTTGAAAGGTATTTATTTTTATTGGTTCTTCTAAATTTTCTAAGGGTGTATTCATATCCACTTTGCCAGTTAAGGTAACATCAAACATAGAAGCAAAAAGAGGTAAAAAAATCAAAAGAGCTGAAAATGATGTTTGTCTTGATTATTGATGTAAAGGAAATGGCAACCTTACTTGAACAGCTTCTATTCTATAGGTTGTACAATGTCATGCCTGAGTTCTAAAATGGAAATGATTAAAACTTTAACAGAAGATACAACCGTGTTTTTTTATCATAAATATTTCCTTTTGTACATCTAACTGAAAATTATTGCCTTTTTAGTTAGAAGCAAAAGTACAAGAATAGAGTCGAACCAAAACAAAACGGGATAGAAGAATGGGAAAAAAACCTCCTATTATAGCAAATACTTCTCGACAACAGTCCGCCCGAACTTTTCTTGAATATCCTTTGGAGTCTCGATCTGGAAAATATAATGGACAAAAAAATGCAAGTATAAAAATCTCATGTGGGATTGGAAGTTATTAGCTATGTAAACTCAATGGCTACTTACTGCATTCAGAGCTTTGAAGAGGGCCTTCAGAGTGTTGTGGGGGTTCCTTGAGCCAACAACCTATTATTTGAACTCACGTTAGAGGTGGTGCAGGAGCAAAGCATTATCTATTAAGCTCCATAATAAAGGACAGGTATAAATTACCTTAGATTTGATATTTTTAAAACCTGCCAGATTCAAAACAGTTTGAACAGTTTTCCCTGCTTTCATGCCTGTCGTAGTTGGTGCTGGCCAAAGATATACCTTAACAAACAGAAAGAAACCATAAGTTTCTATCAAATGAACCCTATACAAAATTTCTTCTTTTTTTTGTTTTTTTTTTAATTTTTTTTTAATTTTTTTATTATTATTTTTTTGCTCGATCGACAAGATATGGATCATCCAGAACTAGAACAAGAAACAGTTTTAGTCAAGCAACCCTGTGTGTGTTGAGGGGGCAACACATTGGCTTCCTCCACCGCAGTATTTCATCTCTTTGGTGTTTTCCAGGTTCAGGACCCCTCAATCCGAGATAATAGGGCGAGTGAACTATTAATGCAGGGAAAAGAAAATTAGAAATGGTTGAGTACCTTTGTTTTTTTGTATTCCGTCTGTATTGCATGTGCAATTGTGTGTTCCTCATGGCGTTCCACATAATGAAGATTTTGGAAACATTTCTCATATGCCTGCTTAAAAGCATCAAATTAATCTACACAATAATAATGTAAACTGAAAAACTATAAAGTCCAATGCACATTGGGACACCACCAAGGTTCTTAAAACATATTTGTTAACTAGAAATATACTCGTTCTGAAGGATTAATTTTCATATCTAAAAATTACAATACTCAAAAAAGAAACTTACAAGCAAAAGATTAAGCCTTCATATAATATGCAATTTTAAACCAGAAAAAAAATTGATCCAATTAATTTTGGTCAATTTTGTTGATTTTAATCCATTCACAAGTAAGATTTTGGTCAACTTATAACTACCTTTTACCTGAGGATAGTTAATCTATTCTGGAAAATGCCAAAGACCATTTGGATAACAAAGCAAAATTTTTATGTCCCCCCAACAAATGCCTAATCCACTGTGATGAAGAGGCTTGATCACAGACCATGCCTAAACAAGTGAAACCCTTTTTGAGGTTCTAGGGACCAAAGACAGTAGTAGATATAGGCATGCTAGAGAAAGTAGCTTGAGTCAGGGATTAGCTTCCCTCTTGGATAAGACTTGTTTCCTCTCTTTGTACATTTTACTATATCTTCCTTGAAGACAACTAAAATCAATTTAGTTCCCCCACCCCCAAAGCCTCAAAATTTCCAGCCAGTTCTGAATCTTCAGCAAATGGTACGGAGGATTTGTGTGAGTGTTCTGGATGGACAAAAACGAGGAGGAAACTGTCATTGTTGTACCAGCGTTAAAATGAGAACTGGGGTGGAAATCCTCATCCGAGATGATAATTAGTTTCATCCAAAAAACTGAAAACTCTAACTTCGAGCTTCAAGTTCAAACTGTTGCAACAAACGCTAAGGACCAAAACCAATCGATCCTGCACTCTAAGAGTAAAAGGGAGACGAATTCCTTAAAAAAAAAAAAAAAAAAGGAAAAGCCAGCTAAACCAAAAATCTGTAAGCATAAAGATAAGAGGAAAAGATAATCCTAGATTTCTCCAAGCTTGCCCTAGCATAATCATAGAAAGTGCTATAGAAAGTAGGGTAACTATACTTTTGGTCCCTCAAATTTGAATTTGGTTTCTATTTGATCCTCGAATTCAAGTTTAGATAACATGTCATCAAAAACTATCATGTCATCATTTTGTTATATCAACAAAGGTTAACTCTAATAGGGACCATTTAGAAAAAATTTCAAATTTTAGGAACTAATTCAATTTCAAAATTTAGGGATCCAAATGTCACTTCAGAGACCTCAAGAAACTAAAATTAAATCTCAAGAACCAAAAGGGTTAGTTTTGAAAACTCTAGGACCAAATAGAAACACAGTTCAAGGGCCACAAATGTATTTTACCCTAGAGAGTAAAGAGCCCAAAAGAGAAAATTTTCCAAGTAGCATTCTCAATGAAGGCTGTAAACATGGATGCGATAAAGAATTGAGCAAAGAATTAACAGGGAGTGGTCTGAACTTCTCAAGGGTCCATACTCCGATGTCGAGCCTCCAAAATGTTACAGATTGGAAATTCTCAGAACTGCAACAAGGATCCTCCAAATACCTCCATCCGTAGTTTCAAAAATGAATAAAAAAAGGCCCGAGTCCATAGCTGGATTAAAGAGACTTGCAATAATATATATATATATATATATATATATTATCTTCATGAAGTATTGGGGCCAACTTCCACACACATTGATTAACCTCACATGACAAGCACTAGACCTTATTACATTTGGTTCTCAAGTAAATTTGAAAAATATTAAAGTTTAGGTATGTGGTCACCAAGCTCTATACTTTTTTCGTTGACGTTGTTGACTCTGATGTTAGAACTCCCCAAAAGATTTTCAAGCTTGAAGATTTAGAATCCACGAG